CATTGGTTCCCTCAGCGTTTTGCCTGAATGAACGTAATTAAGATGCATGTTTTATAGAGATAATACCGGAATTGGTATTCCTGGTCGCCCCAACAAGCACTCGGGAGCACGTCAGAAGCATCATCTGCAAAGGGCGAACAAATCAACAGTTTAGGCGAACCATTCAATCTATTGGGTCCACCCCCAATCGCCTCTTGCCTCTCGTCTCTCGTTGGTTGTGTGGTTTGCTGTGGGTTGAGTTTGCGGCAGATGAATGCCATTATGGGAGCTCTGGTCGAGGACGCAGCCAAATGGGAAATGCTTTGTCGAGCACGCTGAAAATCGTGTGGGTCAGAGACAGAGTCAGAGTCAGAGGACACAATGTTGGCATAAACAAGCACCAGGGCATTTGTCTGGCGCTTGCATGATTGCAGAGACAGCAACGACAACATCAGGGAATAGCATGAGCAACGTGTCCTTGTCCGCCTTAGTGCCTAGCAGTCTTTGTAGTTTATCTGCAGTTTGTCCTTGCCATTATCCTTTCCCAACTTCCCTGTTCGCTGCTCGCTTTGCCAATAATCAAGGTTTTGGCAGAACCAGTGTCCCACTATCTCACTGTCCCCCTTATTCGTTGACAAACGCCGTATTTGTGGAGAGACTGCAAGCTGCATGCCCCGTGCTCGGCTGAGTCGGATCATTCCTCATCGGAGGCAGCAGCCTGGACACAGCCTGCGTCGCTCTTATCTCAATTAGGAACTCATTCATCCGGGCAGCCGAGCACACTTGACACTTGACGACACTCCCAGCACCGCCTGAGCCAAGATAAATGCTCTAATAATTACGGGCCACACTGCTGGAAAATAACTGGAAAAGTCTCTAAAAAAAATAAGCCTCAAATGAAGACCTAATCAGGAAATATCATTTATGTAAGACCTTCCTTGGAGACTATGGATCTGCTTACGTACTCGTGCCTCGTACGTATGGAGCATATAACAAAAGAAGGTGTTTCTAAAGTGTAGTCAAGGTAGAGGCAAGGTGCCTTGCTGTGCACGTGTCAACAGACGGCTCAAAGGAGGCAGCTTGCTTGCCCATCCTCACTGCGCCCATCCTCCGGGTCGCCTGTGAGATGTGTGGGAGAGGAGAAAAGAAACTCTTTAAAATGTGACGCAAATGCGGGCTGGCGTATAAATTTCACACTCTGGTCCGTCTCCTCCAGGATCCGGGGTTGTTAGCGTTGGACTTGCCAGACTGATTGTCGCACTCAAGAGCAGTCGTCAAGCAGCGGGAAGGGCCTCTTAGCGTCGAGCTTTGGCGCTGGTCTGGTGTGGTTTGGGGTGGCACATTGCAAATTACGGTTGAAAAGCGCTGGAAGCTGGCAAGTTTTCGATGCTTGCAGTAAGTGGTTCCACTTACGGAGAAGTTTGCGGTATTTAATTCGCGATTGATAGCGTTGGGAGCCATTCAGTATCTGGAAGTTCGATTAATCACTTGCACACTGACCTTTTTTCTCCAGCCCCCAAGGAGAGACCACACAACCTGGAAGGCAATTGCTCATTAAAGTTCAATTAAAAGTCTGATCGTACTCCCCAGATCCCCCCCCCACACGAATGGCCAATGGGAGGGACTACTGTGCACTCGTTTAATGGCACATTATCTCAATTTTTTGCCTTTATGACTGCACAAAGCTTAATCACATGTGGGTGAAAATCGTGTTAAGGTATCGATTTTGCTTTGTACTTTTTGCGTCTCCTACCCGCACACTGTGGGCCACGTGGATTTAGATTGGAGCTCTGATTACCCACGCAACGTGGATTGGATTGGTCGCAACTGTGTATAAGTCAGTTAAAATGTTAAATTAGTAAAATGGGTCAAGGGCAACAGAGGCGTGAAAGGATTCATTCCGTAATTATATTATTTATATGTATGTAAATGTTCGTATTTGTTCTAATTCAATTGCTTCGTCTGATGACAGTTATTCGTATTTAATAATTCTATTTAGTAAATTCATATGTACGTTTGTATGTATGTGCCATGCACATAGAAGTATCTCCCCCATCTCGGCTGGCGGATTATAATGCTCGAGCATAATCTCGAATGAAAGCGAATGTCTTGAATTCCGCAAATTAAAACGGCGCAGCGCAAGTCGGCGTCGTCGTCGTCGTCTTTGACTTTCGTTGCCTGTTGTTTCACCCTCGTTCTGTTTCATGGCTCGTGCCCCGTCTGGCACTTGATTCATGCTTAGCTGGAATGCTTGGCATAACTTTCCCTCTTTGCTGCGCTTATTTTCTTTCACTTTCGGCCGCCCGCCCATCCACGGCCCATCCACGGCCCGGCCAGGACCTGGGCTCCTGCTTTGGGCCAGCAGCTCGCATTGCTGTAATGAAGAAGCTTGGCACTCGGGACCAGTTCGGGCTGAGCTTTTCACTTGAGACGACTAAGAGACTCCTCATATGTCACACACTCCACGCTATCTGCGGCCACCATAAAGCAAAGGTCACCCAGGGTCTCAGTCCCAGGCGTTGCAGCGCAAGAATTTCGCACTACCTGCATAACTATAATAATAACAACTCATTTAACTCTTTTCCAGAGCGACCGCCACCTAAACGCCTCCTGTACATTCGTCCCAGCCGTCCGTCCCTGGCATCTCGGCCAGTTGATACAGATGTTGGGTAAATTCACCTCGAACCATGTGCAGGTCTACCATCAATATTCCCGCACAGTGTCCGTGAAGAAGCCCGTCAAGGTGAGTACTTGTGCCCGGTGGCCTGTGGCCTGTGCCCTGTAGCATGTGGCATGTATCCTCGGCCAGAGTCTGGGCATCTTTGTTTGCGCCCTGCTCTCCTAAGTAAACACAATTAGCATGCATTAAAAGAACCCTTTATTTCTTTTGGTGACATCCATCCATGCCCCATAATTGGGTGCAAGGTGAAGGGAATTCGTGTGTCGTATTTATTTTGTGTTGAATTGTATGTGTGTGTGTGTTTCGTTTCCATTTATTTGTATGTCTTTGTTGTTTGCACTTTTCGGCGCACAAAAGCGAGCTATAATACTTACAATTGCTTAAAATGCTATGTACCTGCAAATACATGCGTATGTACGTATACATATAAACCGACCTACGACCTACCACTGCATGAGACTTGACACCAGACACCGGATCACCTTCTTTCTATACAGCACAAATTTCCTTCAGCATGCCTGCACGACAAAGCCAAGCCAAGAAGATAATAAATAATTTATATTTCATAATCATTTTTCTTACTCCCAGCAGCCCGCGTGTTGCACTTGCCGTCAGTAGCGAACAAGACTTGAATCGATTGAAGCGGATCCTGTGCGTCCACTGGCAGCTTTCGTTCTCGCTCTCCGCTCTCCACACCAAGCTGGGCCTCTGCCCCGCCCCGTCTCCCTGTCTGTTCCGTGTATGTGTGCGTGTCTGTGCGTCCGCTGTGGACGATGTTGAAACAGAAACGTTTGGCCAAACAGAAGCCCAAAGCGAAACCGGTAAGCAAATCGAACCAATGGCCAACCATCCAAAGCCGAATACGAGTAGACTTTAACTCTGACTTCTGTCCTCTCTAAATGCTCATTCTACAACTCTATAATTTTCCCTAATTTTCTCACAGCTTAATTTCCTCTCTGAAAATCGTTCTCTGCTCCTTGCCCTAATCTCTGATATCTTTGACTGACTGCCAAACTGCTTTGTTGTGGAAAAACTGAACACTCTCTGATCTGTGATTGTCTATCATCTACTCTCCTCTTTGGTTCTCCCCACTTGCCATAACACTGAAAACTGTTTAGTTTAGTTGTAGAAAAACTACTGTTGCGAGTTCTAGTTTTTTAGTGCTACTTGAATATTATTCGGTCACATAGAACACTCGTATTCGTTGCCTTCATCTGCCCTTTGTGAAAGCCCACACAATAGAGATACATACATATTTTTATATACAATTTTTAACACAGTTTTTGTTAGCGTTGTTCCTGAAACTCCTTGACATTTCCCGCCCTGCCGCATCAATTTAAACAAAAGAACAGAACGCATTATTTCATTACAAAATATTATTTGAAAAGGTGAAGTTGCGTACATGTGGGGGGGCATATGCAAAGAGCATTTTTGAATCGTCACAAGTACAGTCTTTAGTTTAATAATAAAAGTTGTGCATCGTCTCTCCGTATACAGAATAATAGCAAGGCATACAGATAAAATACCAAATTTTCATTTATGAACTACACATAATGTACATTATTTGCATAGGTGATAATGAGAAAGGTTCTTTGGTGATTATGATGATATTGAGTTGAATATTTATGTAACTCCAGTTGTTGTGTTTTATTTGCTTAAAATACCTAAATCTCTACATAAAAGTGGTAAATGAAGCACAATTAACTCTCAAAGAACTCTCAGTTCCACTCCGAGCAATCGGTTCTTTGAACATATTTTGAATTTAGTTTGCGGCAAAAGCTTTTTTGAACTGAGCACAGAAAGAAGTAGGCCGCTAAGTATCGAGTAAACTTTACCATATTTTGTTTACCTCAATTTACTACCAATGAAACATACGTACATACACACATAGCCGAATGTTATTAAACATTAATATAGAAGAGCGGCAAACAGAGAGAACCGAGCAGCTCTACGCTCTCTCCTCACTTCTACGTATACATTCTTATCGCTCTTGCTGTGCTGTGCTACCGCTCTTGTTGTGAGAGTACCCAGTACTCGCATGGGAGAAGGGGTATGAACTGTTTGCGTATTTGTATCTCCGTGATGCGCATGCAGATCAAGTTCGTTTGAAATGTTTGCCGTTTCCGCAACAAGTGGAACAAACAACCAAATACGAGTACAAAAAAAAAAATCACAGCGAAATGCATCTGAATAGAGGGGGTATCTGATAGTCGTCAATCTCGATCTCAGCGCTGTTACTTGTTTTGGTTCATTTCTCTATGCGCTCGCTCACATTCGATTGTATTTGAGCCTCTAATTGACGCCGCTCAACCCGACTGGGCGGGGGAGCGAAAACTCCGTCAGCAGTTCTCGACGCGACACTGAATCATGCGGGAATCGTTAGCTCCGAAAGCGCATCGCACAGCCCGTAATCGTAAACGTGATCGTGGTTCGCTGGGCGCATAGTGGGATACGCGTAAGTGTTGCATCTGCACCTTCCGAGCTTGTGGCCACAACTGTGCAGATTCACTTGAGCCGAGAGGCTAGCCATGTTCTTCCAGACCAACTGGGTGTTTGTAAGTACGAGTAGATGTGGAGTGGATCACTCAATGAGTAATTTACTGCTCATTATCTAACAGACGGGTATTCGTGTTTGTATTGTACACATGTACATACATATGTATGTCGTATGGGCTATATATCGGAGGTGCTATGACGACTGTCGCCTTGTGTTAATCGCTAGCCCAGCTGTCGTTGTGATGTGAAGCGTGAGCGACTTGCTCCCACTCTCTGCCCTCGTTCTCTTCACTGGCAAACGGCGGCGCTTTCAGTTCAAGTTGCCTTTATGTATGGGTTTCACGCAAATATTGTGAGAACTCCCTGAAAAGTCAATTCCGCACTCTTATTGGAAGCCAACCATGCAAACGGGCTCCGAGACTGCCGCATCGCATCCCCAATGCTGTCATGGGAGGCACTACTAATTTCACTGCCAATTTTCCACTTTGGAAAGTCATAAGGGAGTCAGCAGAAGTTTGCACAGCTCCGGAACTGCTCTGGTCGTGCTGTTTTTATTGCGGCAAGGGGTATGGTATGGGTATGGAAGACGAGACTGCTATGGATGTTAGGATGGGAAACCACAAAGGCACATCTAGTCAGGCTGGTTATCGTGTTGCTGAAACAGACGGTATGATGCTGAGTCTTTGTGGCCCAGATAATAGTTATTTCTTGTAGCCTCAAAGCCACTAAAATTCCCCTTCCACTGACGTATAAAGCAAAAGTTAATTAATTGACAACTTCATCCAGGAAAATATTTATTTCATCTTTATTCCCACGAAAATATTTCCATCACTGACTCTCGCCAATGCCTGTTAGCATTGTTCCGTATAATATGGGGCCTGGCTGCTTAATTCAATTGACATGTCTCACATTTTCCTGCCATATCCACTGTGCTGACTTTTATACCCACAAAAAAGTTGTTTGGCTCCTGGGTGCTCAGGAAGAAAAAGCTTTTAGTTTAATAGTCGCTGCATAAAACCGTTTTTGAAGAGATACGATGCGAACAGATGCACTCGCATATGCATGGGAATGTATTGTACGGCTCTTAGGGTGCCCCATGGAGCTTTGCGACAGAACAAAACAAAATAGCCCCAGTGTATTGGTCACTTTTTGTAGCCTTCGTCCCTTGGCTCTTGGGCGGACAAAAAGTTTAAGCGGGGTGCAGGCTCACATTCTACGAAAATGTGTGGGCGTTTCTGTGGGTATTTTCAGTACCGAGGTCCAAAGTTATCTATTTTTCTTCACTCTTTAATAATAAAACTTAATTCATTTCCCAAACGTAGTTATTTTAATATTTTTCTCCTTCGGCTCCATGAGTCGTCAACGCTGACAGAATTTCTGCATTAAGTTTTGTAGATACGCAGTTTTAAATTATTATTTTTTTAATTACAATTATATATGTATCTATTTATGTGTATCGAGCTGTGTTCTTAGCCCAAATATCAAAGCGGTCTGGTAGCAGGTCATTAGAAAACCCCCCGTAACCCAATAAGAAGACAGAAGAGTCTTTTCATATCCTCAGACTAATTTTACAATAATATTTCTCTTCTACTTTCAACTATGCTCACTCACACTCGCACACCGTTTCCCCACACAACACCCCACACAAACGCCAATACAAAATGTGTGCTCTGTTTTGGTCCTTGAACTACCAAAATTTATTTCACCTTCCGTTCGGTTTTCCATTTTAAACATCTTCATTGCAAATTTGAATTATTGTGCTGCGATCTGTTAATTAATCTCTTTTGTGTTTTCACACTCCTCTCCCACCCTACCACACACACACACACTCAAACAACACCCGATTTGTCAAACACGATTTGTCGTTGAACAACACTGCAATGCACCGTACCTGTGTATTCGTCTGTGTGTGTGCGGGTGCGTGGGTGTTCGTAATTGTGCTCGAACTCGAATTCGAAACTGCACAAATAATGATATGTGCGAATATTAAAACATCAATGTAAATGCAACGACTACAACGACTACAACGACCACCTGACAATCGACAACAATCATTGCAACCCCAACAAAAACCATCTGCAACGTGTTGCAACACGTCAAAACAACCTGACCATTGTACAATGTAAACTGATAACCAACACCATAATTTAAACACACCCAAAGATACCATGGGGACTGAAAAAAATCTGTTGGGGTCTCATAAATATAACTGTGCCCAGGGTAAGCAATCAACATTGAATAATAATAGTTTGTATATCATTTGTTTTCGCTGTTCGTTCTCCCACAATCGTTGTCGTTGCCTACATATGTATTCCACGTTTAGTTTGTTTGCATATGTTCCTGCCTATTAATTAAAGTGCACCTAACCTTTATTGTACGCGAAATCTTTCCAATAATGAGCCGAGCACAGAGCCGCGGGCTCTGGAACTAATTTATTTACCTCGTTTGATCAACATGAACTTCAAATGAACTCGTTCGGGACATATCGCTGTTCTCGATGCAGCCGACTAACCATCCCAGCGATTTCACAAAACTAATACATCCCGATGGGGCTCTGACCGAGCCATCAATTATTTTGGCACGCTGCAATCTACGAATCCAACAAAACATCCAAGATCCAATCCAATTAATTATATAAAGAATTCAAATTTGCACTTGCATAACAGAGGGGGATGGGGATATGGTCTTGGATGCACTCCAGACTGCAGCTAATAATAAGACCAATCGAATTTGGCCAAATGACAAGTTGGCATGAGAAAGTTCCTACGAAAACAGTTTTCCACAGATTCTTGGCCACTATCCCAACAGACATTTGCATACCTTTCGGCATGGGAGTCATCGAGTCAATTAATCTGTCTAATTCGATTCATCTAAATTGAACCCCGACGCAGATGAATCTACACCAAAGTGCACCATACGATGGCACCTTGTCGGAAAATGCATATTAACCAAATCGAATGCTCCTCTCGAAAAGCATTTCATACTTTTGGGAGGCATCCGGAAAATCGATGCGAAGCTTTCATCGTCGGGGGGATGGATATCAGAGTAGGGCAGAAAGTGTCGCCAAAGCGACAAATCTTTTGTCTGCCGGAGCTTGTCATATCTAATTGGATAGCAGTTGGGTCCCACCTACACAGCCACACCCGGTACGAGTGTATGCACACGGATAGTGCAGAGATTGCGTTTCTGTGTCCCTGCCCAGTAAATAGCCGCAGCCGCACACTGCAAGCCCCAACAGAGAGAACAGCTCACCAGCAGCATCTGCGTGCCAGTTGGGATTGGCCTGTCGCGCCGATAGCACGCCGAATTCTGATTCGGTTGCAAATGCCATACGGATGAACAGTGCAGTGGAGCATGTCGCGTGTGGATAATACTATTAAAAGAAAAATTATATTAGCGGAAAATAGTCAACATTGCGAGAGGCAAGATGGTTGTTGTCGACTCCCCACTGGCGCCGCACAAGTATCTGCGTCGCGTCTCCAAAGACTTCTCCACCGTTCGGCGGTATAGTAACACGCCCGGGTCCGGTTCCACGGCCACTGCCGTGGCGGTCTCCACGTCCGATTTTATTGCCGCCGAGGCTGGGGCCCATTTGCCAACGAACACGCCCCTGGACACAGCCGTAGCTACGCCCCGTGGAATCCGCAAGCGCAAGCGGATGCGAAAGCGCTCCTCAGTCTCATCGACGCTATCCAAAGTTCTGATTCTCAACGTGCGTGATCTGTTGAGGGTCCACGCCGCCAGCGAACATTCCAAAGAGGTAGGAATAGACGCTTGGAGCTCCGATCAAACCGATGCACAGAAGTACCCTTGGTGCGACTTACTGTTGCTCGAAACTTTCCCAGTCAAATTTGCGGCTGGAAAAGGAGGAATTCGATATTCGAATAAATTGTGTAGATTAAATATTCAATCCAGTCAGTGGCCGCTTGCAACCTGACGGGCTAGTTGCCGGGGAAGCGTCAATCGATTCATGCTTGAACGCAGCTCAATCAAAATTGGATGGAGATTGCATTCAAGTACAGAATGGTCTAAATTAATAGAAAGTGAAAACCTTAAGATGATTGCAATATTGTACATACATTATTCTACCCACAAACATTGTAAATATATTTTATTGCAAAAAGTATTAACGCATTTCTTTCCTTGTTTCCCACATTCGTTTTTGGTAAATTAACCAATTGTTTTTTTTTTCTTTTTGTTTTTTAACCTTTGCGTTTAGACTTTTAACGTTTAATTATAATTATAAATGTGTATTTTGTGTTGTTGTTGTCGTTGTTTGTGTTCAATCTGAGATTTGAGATTAACTTTGGAAATCTATTTGTAATTCGATCGAGTTTTATTTCACTATAATAATTCAAATGCGTTAAGTAGTATTTTTAATTTTTAAATACATACATATGTACATGTGTATGTACTGTCGTATCACTGTCATCAATTCGAGGACTCGACATTTATAAAATGCATATCCCCAGCACAGCACGGTAACTCTTCACACGGCAGATCTTTCTTTCAGTTTAAGGTTTTTTGCATTTATTCCTCTAGCTGTATATTCAGTGTATAAATATGTAATTTAAGGAAGCAATTAACACGTTTCATGGGCCCCCTGATGTAGTAATTAACCGGCTTAACCCTTACTCTCTTCTCGACTTTATCGCGCGCGCCATTTAGCATCAGCCACGCAGTTGGATCGAGACCAATTTTCAGAAGCGCGAGTGCATCAAGTTCATACCATGCCCAAAGGACGATACAAGGTAAGTGCAACTAATTTCGTTCATTTCCCCGCCCTACCATACTTACAAAGGCGAAATCAGACGAGCCAAAGTGCATCGGATGCGGTGGCAGGGGCAAAGAAGTCCACGTCCAAGTACCAGTCCAAGTTAAGACGGCACCAGTTGACCCAGTTTCGCCTATCAAAAGGCGTTCCGTTCTCTGCTCAAAAGCAGCTACTGCCCCAGTTTCATGGGATTGTGTATTTAGTTTCATTTTGGCCTGCTAGCATTTATTGTTTATTATGACAGACGGAGGCAGAGGCAACCACCAGACTCCATACCCTGCAGTGGAGATAGCTACGCCATAATCTGACTGACAGGCTGGTGAAAGTTTTCAGTTTCGTAGATAGCTGAACAGCTTCGCGATGGGTTTATGGCCCTGACTCTACATGACTTTGACTGCTGGCGCTGCCAAATATTTACTCAGTGGCCTAACAGATCCCACAAATCCCCAGAGCCATTTTCACTTGGACCTGCATGTGCTTCAGACACGTGCTGATTCATTTCACTCTTATTTCAACTATTGAATGTCTGAGGGGTCGCACAGTGACAATGATTGTTGTTGCTCCATTGTTCCATCCGAAACATCATTGAAATGAGCGCGGAATGTGTAGGGATCGGTCGTCGTTTATTGCCCAGAAGTATGCAGCTATAGCAAGCGGTTTCTCCCACTTTTGCAGGTGCTGCTGCGGTCAGGCCCAAATCACGCATCAGACCATACAGGGCATCGAGAGCGGCTCGCCGGGGGACCTCTGGCTGCCAACGAAACACACCCGACCACAGCCCACAGACGCCTATGGCACCATTGAGTTCCAAGGCGGGGCCCATCCCACAAAGGCTCAGGTGGGTTTTGCGCAATTTTGAGGCGATTTCCTTTAGTGCGGTCTTCAATATCTTTCGCTCTGTCCATCCCACATCCATACCTTCAGTACGTTCGTTTGTCCTTCGACACGCGTCCAGAGCTGCTGGTGCAGCTATTCACTAAGGAATGGAACCTGGAGCTGCCGAAACTTCTGATCACCGTTCAGGGCGGCAAGGCCAACTTTGATTTGCAGGCAAAGCTAAAAAAGGTGAGCAACGAAAACTTTTGCACTCGTGCCTCGTGTGTCACACGCTAATTGAATGGCCTGGCTCTGACAACGACAAAAACAACAACAACAACAACTACCTTTCTGCGATTCACAGGAGATACGCAAAGGACTACTGAAGGCGGCCAAGACCACAGGAGCATGGATATTCACCGGCGGCACCAACACCGGTAAGCATTCGTTTCATTAGTTGAACTTCTATGAAAGGACAGGAGACAGGACACAACTACACTGCCGAGCTTTTAGGGCCGGCAATTACTATACTTGGGTCTGCAGCCAGCCCCAGTCCGGAGCCAAGGCAAACACAAGTCCAGTCCGGGGAAAAGTGAGCAAAAGTAAACAACGAGCGATAGCTGGAAACTTAAAGAGAAAACGGCTACCCCAGTAGAAAATTAAATAAATAAAAACTCAAGCGGAAATCACGCAGCCAGTGATTGAGTGCACACTTCCAACTGCTTGCCGCCGACATATTGCGACGCCCGGAATCCGAATGGGTGGGTGTCTGGGCAGGCTCTAACCAGAGTCGGCTTAGGCCCTCACAGCGTGTTCCGTAGTCGGGACCAAAGAAAGATACTTTTTGTCTGGATTTTGGGATAGAGTTGTTATTAAATTTTGGACACCCCACCCCACCTAGCTAAGATATAAAGAAGCGGCTCAGTGCTCAGTTGCTGAATGCTCAACGTTTCCATTGTTGTCTCTTCCCCGATGCCACACAGGGGTCACCAAGCAAGTGGGCGACGCACTGCTCCTGGAGGGTCAGCAGCGGACCGGGCGTGTGGTCAGCATCGGCATTGCCCCCTGGGGCATAGTCGAGCGCAATCATGAGCTGCTGGGGCACAACCGGGAGGTGCCCTGCCACAGCATTAGTTCGCCCAGGTGAGTTCGGGCCGCATCCTGGCCCCAGATGTCGCCCCTTTAATGCATTTTTGATGGGGCTCATTCAAGGGAGCAATTGTAATCGTCGCAACCAACCTCTCCGTTGGTAACCTCTCTTTTTCAGATCAAAATTGGCCGTGCTAAACAATCGACACGCCTACTTCCTGCTAGTCGACAATGGAACCCAGGCGAAGTACGGGGCTGAATTGATTTTGCGACGGAAGCTGGAGAAGTTCATATCGAACCTAAAGCTGCATCCATGTGAGTGGGGGGAGGGGTGCAAAAGCCATATGTATCTGACAGCACAACAGGCAATAGTCGGCCCGTAGTTCACTGATTGATGCACCCTTTTTCCGAGCTGCCATCAAAAGGCACTGCCACTGGCACTGGCCTTTGTGTTGATGTGTTTCTTCTTTCTCAGCTCACTCAGCTCTGAATGAGGATATTCAGTCTGTGAATGGGACCTGCATGCCGTGCTGTCAATGCGATTGTTGTTTGACTTAACTTTGTTGCATGCCACTCATAAGCTTCTTACGCCTCTTTCTCTATGTCTATGTCTTCCCCTCTCGCTGCAGTCACACATTCCAGTACGCCCGTCGTCTGTCTGGTGATCGAAGGCGGTACCAACACCATACGTGCGGTGCTCGAGTACGTGACGGACTCGCCGCCGGTGCCCGTGGTGGTGTGCGATGGTTCCGGGCGTGCCGCCGACTTGCTCGCCTTCGTCCACAAGTGAGTCCAATGCGAACGCGTGGGCTTTAATTTGAAGCAGTGCTTAGCTTTAAGATGAATGGTCTCTCGGGTACGAGTACTTGGCAGGACTTAAAGCATATCCCCGCATCAGGCGCTTGATGGGGGACCGACCGCAGCTTGTGTAAATTTAATTAAGGACATGTCGGCATGCGGCTGATACTCGCATTGTACTCGTACCGTTGGTTGGTACCGGTTGCCTTTCATTGTCAAGCACGCGACATTAGGAAAATTATTTAAATTTATCCACCTCCCTCCCAATCGCTTCGGCTGCTGGGGCTTGCTCGCCTGATGCTGGTGCGGACCTTTTTGTGGCCCACATCTTATTTTGTTGTTTAATTAGTCGGAATAATTGGGCGCCTGACAATGTTACAAAAATGTTTATTTGTAGATATGCCTCGGACGGAGAGGAGCAGCCTGTGCTGGAGTCTATGAGGGACTATCTAATTGGAACCATTCAGAAAACCTTCGAGGTGGGCCTGGACCAGGCCGAGAAGCTCTACCAGGAGCTACTGCAGTGCACGCGCAATAAGAATTTGGTAAGCTGCTCGAATTTTCCACTGTTAACTGTACAGAACGTAAAATAGTGGCAGGGATATTAAAACGGGGTAGTGGTGCTTTTGGTAATTCAGTAGGTCGCAGGTGAAGTTTTCTAGGACTATTAATAGACGGAAGCATTAATTAAAATCGCGTAACCCGAAAAATCTTGGCTAAATGCGGCTTACTGCAAGAGATTCAAACTGACTGGCGTGTGGGTGTGGCTGGGGCTGTGGGAGGGAGTAACTTTTCAATCACTCGAGACTTTTACGCGAGCCGATTTCAAATTTTAATTAATGCTCGTAGCCGTATCCCCGCTGAGATAATTAGGCAACAGAATTCAATTGAACGTGTAATGAATTTTAAATCACCGCGAACCAGGGCAGACACTCTCTTTGGGGGATTCCTAGACCAAAATGTTGGCATTTCGTCAATTCCGCCGCAGCTGCTATTAAGATTTTAATTGGTTTTTGAATAAGCAAGGTGCCCTCGCCCCATTTCCATGTCCTTGACTGGTCTGTGCTCCTCTGGATGCGGATTGGGATGGGTGTGGGTCCAGGCAAACATATTATATGCGGTGTGGGCTACATTAAGAGATACTCAAGGTTTTTATGTATATTTTTTCAATTTCTCTGGCAGATTACCGTCTTTCGCATACAGGAAAAGCCCGAGGGCGAGGCGCAGGAGCTGGATCAGACCATTCTAACGGCCCTCTTCAAGTCGCAGCATCTCAGTCCTCCAGAGCAATTGAGTTTGGCACTGACATGGAACCGGGTGGACATAGCACGCAGCGAGATATTTGTCTACGGCCAGGAATGGCCCCACGGTGGGTACTCGTCCCCTTCTGGGCTTTGTTTAAATTTCAATATTTTTTGCCTCCTACTTTAATTTTGTGTGCATGTCCCCAGGCGCTCTGGATGAAGCCATGATGCAGGCACTGGAACACGATAGAATCGATTTTGTCAAATTACTTTTGGAGAACGGCGTTTCAATGAAGAAATTTTTAACAATACCGCGCCTCGAGGAGCTCTACAACACAAAGCACGGACCGGCCAACACGCTGGGGTGAGTCCTCCGGGCTCACAGACTGCCCCAAATACTTTCCATTCGGCCTATGCAAATTTGTACTGTCTGTCCGCTCTGCTCTTTATTTTTCTCCCACAGTTACATTCTGCGCGATGTGCGACCGCACATACCCAAGGGCTACATTTACACGCTCCACGACATTGGCCTGGTGATCAATAAACTAATGGGCGGCGCCTATCGGTGAGTGCAGCGGTACTTCTTTATGTACATAGGTTGACCTGAGCACCCAAGAGTCTGGATGGCTCTTTCCTTTACTGTAGTCAGACTTCTTTTTATTCTAACTACATATATATTTCGGTACCGGATGAGCTACAACGTATTTCTTATAGCACGAAGAAACGAGTCTGAACGGATGCCGGTCCGTTTCTATGACAAATTTAAAACTGATTATTTCCCTTATTAATAAAAAGGGAATATTTGGGCAAAAGAGACTCTTTTTGAAAGAGTTCAATCAACTGAATTGAACGAATCAACTCAAACTTACAAATGCCAGCTCTTACGATTTGGAGACTTTCCATGTCAATTCCACCACCCTCTCACCTACTTTTCTTGACCAAAAGAAGGAGCAGAATTTGTTGAAAACTACAAACAATTGCCAGAGCAATAAGAGAACTCGAGTCTCTTCGCTCCGCACCATTTGGCCCTTAACGTGTGGTGGACTGAATTTAAAGTTTGAAAATTTGTTCATCGAGAATTTTATAAGTCTGCACATCAAGCCGAAAGGGAAAAGAGCTGCGTTGCCCCTGCAGTTGCGGCTCCCTTTGTCATGTTGATGTGGGAAATGCGACTACGGACGAAAGGCAAAGGAGCGAGGCGTCAGCATCACATCCCTTAATTATGCAGCATTAACATTTTAGCCAGCAAGGTGAAAAATGTGGTAGCGACTCCCACCACACGTTTTTTTAATTTTACCTACAAAGTGGGGCTGCCCTGGTTCAGCCAGGGATTTCCCAGCAAATTGTTTGCGGCTTCAATGAAAATTCGTTGCTCCTTAAGCTGGCCGCTGTCTGGGATCACTCAATTTAGTAAAGAGTCAAGTGCGGGGGGAGAGTACTGTTCTCTGTGGACCCTTGCTTGAACCCTTTGTTCGAGGTAGCATAATGTTTGCTTTTCAGAGTGTTCAACTTTGAAATATAACAAAGTTCCAGAAAAGGCTTTGAGGTTCTATGGCGACGAGGCTTTTAGCACAAGCTTATTAAAGTGCAAGCTTTAACCTTCTATTGAAGTAAATTTAAACTTTCTTTGGGGATTGTCCTCGGGTGCCCCTAAATGTTATTGCTTCTCGATGAACCTATCTGTAGCTCCAGTCCGGTTGAATCCTGATGTCGGCAGCTCAATTTAATTCGTGTTTATTGTTTTTGGATAAACATCTTCTAGCATCTTCTAATTTGACACTACTTGCCTTTTGTCTGTTTTGGGTGTTCTTTTTTCTTTTTTCTTCTTTATTCATTTCTTATTCCACTAAGTATACTATTCTTCACTGCCCTACTTTCATCGCCTTTCCGTGCCATTTGCCCTTTTGTGTGTTTGATCAAAGCTGCCGGACTCCGCCCTCGTCGCCGGTGGAAAGTTATCAGACGAATGCCTATCTAAATGGCCAATACTATCCAAGCTATGTAGGAGCCGACATCCCAACTGATGTGTTTATATATTAAATTACGGATTTCGGACTCGGTCTGTGGCTTCTTCCCGGCTTTCCAGCCGCTCTAGGGCACTCGTGTCCTCTCTTGCGCCATGCAACGGGTCTAGACATTTAAATTCGGTCTTTAACAACACTCTGAGCGTAATTAAAAGCATTATAGTTGTGTGATTAGATTAACATAAAATTCAAATGGAGCTGCCCGTCTGGCTGCTGTGTGCTGCCCACGGGCGGTGGACTTTCGCAATGTTCAGCAAAATCAATTGATTCGCCATTTCATGTGACATAAATAATTTACGCTCCTTTGCCTTGATGCTCTGCATTTAATTGCTCGCTCGTTAAACGCCTACTGGTCCTTGCGAACGCCGATTATGCCAGGCCATTGGATCTGTTTGTTGCTTCAACCAGCTTATTACCTGTTTACCTGCCATTCTGGTTTGGTGTAGCCCTGGGCAAGACACACCAAATTATATTTAAATTTCGGCCTAGGAAGTACTCGACCTGCAAGCAAACAATGAAACAGCCAGAAATAATAGAAAGTGAAATGGCAGAAGTTTTCATTAGCTGTCAGTCTGTATGGCTGTCCAAAGAGCATTTCCCAGGGGCAGTTGGAAAACAAAAAGCCCCAATCCAAGTAGTAGTTATATTAGATTAAACTTGTGTGTATCCTGCACAGGTCCTATTACACGCGCCGCAAGTTCCGTCCCATCTACGCCAAGGTCATGAACAGCTATGCCAACGCCTGTCGGAAGTCCTCGACATATCAATACCAGCGATATGCGGGAGCCAACTCGCTGAGTCTGGTGACGGGCCTGCTGCCGTTCACCTCGGAGATGGCGCTCTTTGAGTTCCCGTTCAACGAGCTGCTGGTAAGAGAGGCAACCCAACCCGCCTGCCAGGCCTTTCTTCAGCGGAAGTTCTATTGCAGATTTGGGCCGTTTTGACCAAGCGACAGCAAATGGCTCTGCTCATGTGGACGCACGGCGAGGAGGCGCTGGCCAAGTCACTGGTTTCCTGCAAGCTTTACAAGGCCATGGCGCACGAGGCGGCTGAGGACGACTTGGACACGGAAATCTACGAGGAGCTGCGCTCCTATGCCAAAGAGTTCGAGAGCAAAGGTGAGTGCTGCCTTTGCCCTTGCGGCTGAGTTGCCAATCAAATCGAATCGAATTCCGGTCTCTTTTTTTCGGGTTCAGGCAACAAGCTGCTGGACTTCAGCTACCGGCAGGACGCGGAGAAAGCGCAACGTTTGCTCACCTGCGAGCTGCATTCGTGGTCTAACCAGAGCTGCCTGTCACTGGCCGTAGCGGCTAATCACCGGGCTCTGCTCGCCCACCCCTGTAGTCAGGTCATTCTGGCCGATCTCTGGATGGGCGGCCTGCGCACCCGCAAAAATACCAACTTCAAGGTGCGACTCTTAGCTGGCTAACTGGCCAAGCCAGTTTTCATCTTTGATTCTAAATTGTACGAGTATCTTGGGTGCAGGTCATCTTGGGATTGGTTATGCCGTTGTACATCAGGCAGCTGGACTTCAAGTCAAAGGAGGAGCTGCAGCAAATGCCGCAAACAGAGGAGGAGCACTTGGAGAACCAAAACTTGGACAATGATGATTCGGATCGCTCACAGCCCGATGCCGAGGTAGATTTTGCACTTCAACTCATTCGCCGGTGTTCTTCTGTTCATACTTAACTTATTTTCAATTTGAATTACATTTTGTTGTGTTGTCTGTACGAGTATGTGCCAGTCCTAAATGTGCCTTATACATTTCAGCGTCAGCGTTCAGTTTATAAATTTAAATTTATTCAACTAATCTAAAATCTACCACTTACCACATGTACCACTAACGAAGATACCGCTCTGCTATTCATCAATCCTAACCTAACGCTTTCAAAATCCAAATCTATCTGTTTGTAGAGCGCCCTTTTAAAAGCCAAAAGATCCATTTCCTTGAGATATAGGATGGGCGCGGGCGCGGGCACTTATAATCGCGAAAAGGTAGTACAAATTGCTCGATCTAAGCCAATTCTTGTGTATTTTCTGTACAAGTCGTCTATGCATCCACTTGATGTATACTATATATGTATGTTATACTTGCTGCTTGCTTTTCCTTTCTCTCTTTCTCGCTGTCTTTCTCTATCTCTTTCTCTGGTTCGGTGTCTGCACATATTTGTACACTACATACATATGTGTGCCATCAAACCGACTCAAGTTGCTCTCTACTTTATATGTACACATGTTTTTAATCTTCAAATTATAATTTATTTCCAATAACGTTATTTATTATGTGTAAGTAAATAGTGAGTGTATTTGGATTTAAACACTGCAAGGGCTCTATGGTAATGAGCAGGCAAAAGATTTCACTAAAAATCAATGTAACTGTCATCATACTACGATTGGATATCAGAAAGTTTTACGCGGGAGACATGTACAGTTTCGACGATTCATGCACATGAACATTCTTGCGATTTAATTACAATATTTTATAAAAACATACGACTTTTGGGAATAGTAATATCCATAATACAAAATAATATCCATAATTGCACAGATAATTAAATAGACAAGTAGGGCAGGATAGGATTTGGGTCAGAAAATAGTCACTTGATTTTGATACAACTCGCTCGTTGAGTTTTGTTGTTAGAAAGTTATTTCCAGCAGGCGGGAAAGGGAAGGACTGTCTTATCTTATACTCAGCTGTACATACGGTCAGACATGGCTATATCGGCAAAGATGTTGATGCTTGATCCCCACACAGATCCAGTTTATCATAGATCATACATATGCCCACGCCCTTCTCCGCCCCGGAGGATCCGGTATCTTATAGTCGAAAATTCGACTATGGCGTTCCGATGTTAAAGTATTATTAGGGGTGTCTCTGAAGACACGCGTCCCAGGAGTAGTGTGTTGCGGGGTATTCATTGTGGTGGCGTGGCTTGGGTTACACAGATAAATTTAAAACACGTACACCAAACATTTTGACTTTCTGACTAAGTAACTATCATTTGTATATTTTTCTAAGTGCAAGCTCATGCCAGCTGAAACCAGCTCGCCCTCCTATAAAAGCGCCTCTAATTCAACAGATGTAAGTGTCCTTGCGTCAGTTGCTTTTGCTTCTAATGCTCCCCATTTTGCCCCATTGTCCATTTTCCATTTTCCCTGCTTGGCTCGGAGTTAAGTGCGAAATACCATTGGCAGAGTAATGAAAGATATTAGCCGCCAATGGGTTCAGTTTAGTAATAAGCCAGCCGCCTCACCATCCCCTCACGTTCCCAGTCATCGGAGCGCACTGATCCCAGAGCAGAGCCACATATGATGCTACACTTTCAGTCCGTTAGTGTCAAGCTGCCTTCTGGCAGCCTGCATCGCAAAACCTGCACTTGTGCAAATATTTTGTTTCAGTTACGCGGGCACTGCACAAACACCCAATCTGTACTATCATCCAATTTCCATCGCTGTCCCCACTATGCGCACGCTTCATATGTGGGGCTAGTCCTTCAATCGGGGATCCAATTATTGTAGAAAATTTAATGAGCCAATGGCAAGGCTGTGTCCACAAGTCTGCCAAGTATCTGTAATTCTTAACGGTAGTTTCTATAATTACATATTTATGTGTATACGAGTAGGTATATATGTACATATCTGTGGAATGCGAATGCTATGTGGGAACAAATTATTGACTGCCATATTTTTTATTTTAAAGCATTACATTTTGTTAACTAAGTATGTGTGTAGAATCATCATGAAAAACACTTACCTTGTTAATCGATTCTACACACACCACACCCATTTAAACTCTTCATCTCAACTCCAGTGTTTTGTCCAGAGACCACTGCAAATAGACTGGAACTTAAATTTTACCATTAAATATTCTTTCTGATAAATGCGAAAAATGTGCCCACACCGTTACAGGCTCTATTGGCGGATACTTATTCAGTACGCGATACAAAAGTACACGAAAATGGCAAAGTGAGTAATTTGACCACTTAAACTGCAATAAGAGCAAACCAACACTTACACACCACCAATTTCATCGAAGACTTAATCTGAGAATGGAATGAGATTCCAGATTCCAATTTCCAAATTCCCAATCCCGAAATTCCGTAACTTAGTTGAAGCGACAGCAGACAGCGGAAACCACACAATCAGTTTTATTTTGTCTTTGTATTATTTTATTTGATATTTTGTTGAGAATTATAGTCCTCTAGAAAACACTGTTTCGTCGCATCTATCCCGTAGGTAACCACATAAAGACAATGTACTATAAAAATCCTATGGTTTCATACTATAGCACCTAAGATACAATACAAATATACTCGTACATTTAACAACGTCATCTAAAGTTCCCCACACCCAATTTTAATATGTTTCAGTCCTGGTATCGTATCAATTTACAGGTTAATCTCACTGCTGGAGCGGAAGAACCCCCCTCCAAAGTTAGTTGATCCCGGATTGAGTTTCTCTCCCAAAAGTATTTTTATTTTCGATGGCATTTCTGTAATTAGTTTTAGAATTTTGTCCATTTAAGCCTTATTCCTCATGGATTGCGCATTGTTATCGGCAGTTGCTTATCGACAACATTTTCGTAGCCAAAATTTAAATCATCCTTCTCGGCTTGCTTAAGTAGTGCAGTAGTGCAGTGTGTTTATCTATTTTCGTAAGTTCGCACTCTTCGAGAAGCCGCAAAGCCAATTTCCTCTGCATCCTGCTTAAACCATAGGTACAGCTGCGTTTCTGCGTTACTGCATGTTGTGAATGAAAACTAAACACGCATACTTACATATAAATAGCAAACCATAAATAACTGAATTAGAAACAAAACCAATCAAATCACACTCTACTCGGCCAATCCCCTAGTCGTACTCGCAACGCCCCAATGTACTATATCCCCACTCTCTCTTTGAATGTTTCATTGCACATTGATGATTTAATTAAGCCCAAATATTGTACGCTTTTACGCACACTGCGCTCAGCATGCTAACTGATTTCGTTGGCATCTCTCCGTAGGTCTCGCTCACTGACTCGGATCCCGCGCAGTTCCGGGAGTTCTTCAACATGTCCGAGTACAACGAAATCAAGCAGCACCAGCCCCTGCGACTGAAGAAAAAGTTCCATGAGTTTTACACAGCCCCCATTACGAAATTCTGGGCTGATTCGGTAAGTAGCGGAAATGACTATCCCGCCAGCTAGTTTAATTTGTTTAATCGCCGACGCCAAGCCAAGCCCGTGTGAGGTGTTTTTTTTCGGACTAAGTGACTAACCCGACCATCCTTGACTACCCCCATTTCAGATCGCGTACATGTTCTTTCTGATAATGTTCTCGTTCACGGTTCTGGTCAAGATGGGACCGGTGCCGCGGTGGCAGGAGTGGTATTCGATAGCGTACATCACAACGCTGGGATTCGAGAAGGTTCGCGAAATCATATCCTCAGAGCCAGTGGCCATTACGTAAGTAGTCCTTCCCCTGCCCTTCCCTGCATCACATGGTTTGTAATTGCACCTCACCATATACACCATGTACAATACGATGAGAACAAAGAGTGCGGACGGATTACGCAGTTGTACGCATTTTCATTACTTTTTCGCCTCTTCTCAATATGTTTGTGGTATGGTATGTGTGTGCTCCTCACGCTTGAATAAACGCTCTGTCTCCGACGACGATGGGATCCACTGATGCGAATTCGGCGAACAGGCATAAATTTTCCGTGTGGGCGTGGAACATGTGGAACCCGTGCGACGGCGCTGCCATAATACTCTTCCTCATTGGCCTGGCATTCCGCTTCCGCCCCAACACAATGGACATCGGACGTGTCATCTACTGTGTGGACAGCATCTACTGGTATCTGCGCATACTGAACATCCTGGGCGTGAATAAATATCTGGGTAAGTCTCAGCACAGCAGCATGGGACGTTAATCCGCGGAGATCCATTGCAGGTCCCCTGGTCACCATGATGGGTAAAATGGTGAAGAACATGATATACTTCGTCGTTCTGTTGGCTGTCGTCCTGATGAGCTTCGGCGTGAGTCGTCAGGCCATACTCTACCCCAACAGCGAGCCTACTTGGCGGCTGATCAGAGAGGTAAGCCAGACGAGATCTGCCGATCATCATCATCCGAGCGGGTGATCCGATCCATTTGTTTTAAATACGTATGTATGTATGTATGTACTATATGTAGGTGTGCCTACTTTGGGACAAAACTAACCCACGAACCGCTGAGTGTGTGTGCGCGCGAGAGCCCCACTATCGTAGAACACACCCCCACCCATACCCACATATACTCGTACTCGTACTCGTACTCTGTGTCCGAATGACCTGTGCACATTGACTTGACATTGATTTCTATTGCAGCTTTAAGCCATGAGTCACGCCCCGGAGTACATACATTTACTTAATAGCAAGAGAAGCAAGTTTTTGGCTTGAGTTCCTCAGTAGTGGTGCAAGCAGAACGTTTACGTTTATACGTAGTTTTGTGAATTGCCGCGCAATTCAACTCACTTTTTTAACATTCTTAGCTTATAATAAATAATTAGCAACATATGTATTTATGTATCTACGACGATCAAGCGATCCTATGAGATTTGATCAATCTAACACTGATTTCAATTGATTGTGTCTCGTATTGTATTTCTTCTTTCTTTCCATCTTCCATTTGTTTCCGGCGCATCAAATCCTTCATCCTTTGTTCAATTTACATTTCACTTACTCCACCATATTTCTTGAATTTGCGTTTGCACTCGATTCGTTTCGCCCTTCAACTTTTAACAAATACCAAATGCTAGGTTATTGCCGGCTCCATTGTAGCCCCCGGATTTCCGGGTGCCCTCGGCCACAGTAGTCGCTCACACAATACCCGCGGAGGGGGTTACGGATCCACTTTCAGCTCCAGTTCCTTTGCTGCAGGCTATCATCGCGGCCATGCAACGGCCTCGTCGCCTATGGCAACCGCTACCACCACCACGTCTACAGTGCCACCTCTATCGTCAGCAACGGCAACAGGCTCAGCTGCAACACCAGCGCCATCGCCAGCGCCCGCACCATCAGGCCCAACTTTCAATCCGGCTGAGCATGAGCATTTGTCGGGTGGAAATTTAACAAATGTACAAACTAACAAATTAACAAAGATGAGATTAACAAGAAATTGGTTTGCTATTTAGAGAGCCGATTGTAGCATGCTCTAGCCGCGCCCCCCATTCGTGATACTATAAGTGTGTTTGTGGACGCTCTCTATAGATAGTCGTTGTTGTGTCCTAATAAAGATCTGTGTGCAAATTTCAGTTATTTGGATTCCCCTCTTACGTTCTTCGTTGGTCCCTTCTTTGATACTTTTCAATATACATATATCCCCCTTTTGCTCTGATCTCTCTCCCTCTCTCTTATTCTGTCTCTGTCTCTGTCTCTATCTCTCCCTCTCTCTCCCCCTCTCTTCTGCCCAAAAGCAAGCATTTATTTTATGATTTCCACTCTTAGCCCTAAGCCAATCAAATATACGTAATTATGAATTTCCATGAATTATGAATTTAAAGAAGCGAATTCCCCGCCGTTCCTTCAGCTAGAATTGCATGCGACATGGCTGAATTTTGCATGAACGGGGGCTGGAATTTATGTATGTGGTACAGCGAATATTATTCAAATGTAATCTTCTGCATGACGTGTTCGCTAAACTCTTTGTTCTTGCATCCTTTAGGTAAATGTGTGTACTCATTGCGCTTATGAATATTCATGTACATGAGACCTTCTTTTGATTTATGCACCCATCGATTGTCAGCGTTATGCTCTCCTCTTCACTTTTGAACTATTTATTTAAATTGTATACTGCCTGCTACCACTACTACTACAAGTATGTATGTATGTTCCTAGTATTTTCATTTTGCATGCAAAATATCAGTCCAACATTGTGCATGGGACATTATTTTCCGATCTGACTTGAAGCAGTGAAAAATCTAAAATATTCAATATTGAGTCCAGCAGTTATACAATTAATCAAGAAGGGACAACAATCATTTGTGACTGTTTTATGTTTATTTTAACCTGGTTCCCCGTCCTGCTGCGATATGCAAATGAGGCGGCAAATCGACTTAACGCCATGTCCCATAAAATACATGTAAATAGCACGTAGCATGCTGCTTCCAAAATGAAGAGAAAAACAGCCAGGAAAATTACTAATCAAACTAAATTGCAACCCGCACACAAACGCAAAAAGACACAGATAGACACATGTACGTAGCTGGGTGTACACACACATACACGCACACACACACACACACATAGGTGTGCCAGAGATGGCTAAAATAACCAAAACTCTGTTTCGATGTGTAAACTTTTATTAATGTTGAGCTAAAGGCGAAAATTGAATTACCGTGGCCCTACCGGGGCTGGCCGTTTCTTGCTTACCGGTGTGGACGTGGACGCCGCGCAGCAGTTGCCAATTTAATGGTGATTTTAATCTATCATCGTATCGTTGTCCAGGTCACCTACCAACCCTACTTCATGCTGTACGGCGAGGTGTTTGCCGACGACATTGACCCTCCCTGCGGCGAGGATCCGCGTCAGCCGGCCTGCGTGACGGGTAAGTTTGGCGACGTTGGCTCTGGCTCGGGTTCTGGCCTGGCCTGGCCCTCCGACGTGCACACACACGGGAATGGCATGACTGTTTTAATTTGATTACAGGCCATTGGGTTACACCGATAACGATGTCCATGTATCTGTTGATTGCCAATATTTTGTTGATAAATCTGCTCATCGCCGTGTTCAACAACATCTTCAACGAGGTCAACTCTGTGTCACACCAGGTACGATCGAATAAAGGACCGGGCAGCGTCAAGAACCAGGACCTGACCAAAAATCTTAATCTTTTGATGGTTGCAGGTTTGGATGTTCCAGCGATTCACAGTGGTGATGGAGTACCAGCAGAAGCCCGTCCTGCCGCCGCCTTTCATTGCCTTTTGCCATTTCTATTCCCTGCTCAAGTACTGCGTGCGCAAAGCGAAAGGTGAGCCCGGCATGAGCAAGTTTAGCTTTGTTCCCTGTGAGTCTATCATATCTGAATGCTTCATTCGATTGTACAATATCTAACTTTTCTCCCCGGCGTGCCCGCTCTAACACTCAACGTCGCTGTGTCTCTAATTCTGTGTCTGAACATATTACTTATACGCACCTCCATTGTATAAAATCAATTGTGGAACTTTCTATACTCGTACAAAACAACAATAACAACGTATAATTGGGTTATGATGCACAATGCGCACACATATTTTGTGAATTAATATTCTATTGTGCATTTGCCCCGGTGCTGCTGTTACTGTTGTTGCAATTGTCCATTGTAATTGTATCGCTTGCCTGAATTTCAATTTGTTTTCTGTGACTCACGTGCTGCTGTCCTCCCTATCGACTGTCCTCCCCACAGGATTGGAGGTGCAGCGGGACAATGGTCTCAAGCTGTTTCTGGAGAAGGATGACTTGGAGCGACTGTACGACTTTGAGGAGGAATGCGTGGAGGGTTTTTTCCACGAACAGGAAATAATATTGAATCAGTCCACCGATGAGCGGGTGAAGAACACAACGGACCGAGTCGAGACCATGTCCCAGAAAATCGAGGACATCAATCAAAAGGAGAACATCCAAACAGCTTCTGTGCAGGTGCGTATCCATCTCTGTCTCCTTCTCCGTCTCCCTTAACCTTCCCACCCTAGTTCAGGACGTCCTAATCTCAGACTTGAATCTGTATTCAAATATTCAAATAACGCAGAATTCTGTTCCTCGCATTGACATGTGTATTGGCACCAACGGAATTGAATACTGAATATTACATGTCCATTCGGAATGTCCATTCCTGCTGTTTCTCTTGCTCATGTGCAAGGCTTTGATGAAAGCTTTCCTCACTCCGTTTGTTCTCTTTCACTTAACAGAACATTGAATTTCGTCTGCGAAAGATGGAGGAGTCGTCCGAACAGATACTGTCGCACCTGGCTGTCATACATCGCTTCATGTCTACACACACGGTAGGTCCGGATGACATGCGCGGCTCCACGATAAACATTCCAGGTGAAATCCATCGCATTCGCACCATTTCAATGTCGGATACCGATGGAGGCGGTGGAAGTTCTGGAAATGGAGGGGGCGGTGGTGGTGTTGTTGGGGGAGCCGCTGCTATACCACTTGCTCTAGGCGCCGGCCTGAATGTAAATTCGCTGCAGGTTCGTTTGAATTATTTGCTTTTTCTCAGTCCCAGTCTCAACCCGCTTCACGTACATATATCAAATTAGGTGAACAATAGACGCCGCTTTAATCGCTCTCTAACGGAGGTGCGTCCAGACGCCTACATTCTCGACGAAGGCACCCACTTTGAGGTGGTGCCCTTGCCGGAGGAGCCGGACGAAGCGGTCAAGTCTCGCGAAGCCCTCAACGAGCAGGTCGTGCGGAAGGCATCGATGCAGTCGGAGGCAGACTCCGATATCTACTTGCCGTTGTCGCAGCGCCCCTCCACCTGTGAGACGGTGAAGCGCACGCCCTATGTCACTGTGCGCCAGGACACGGGTGCCAGCACGGAGAGTAAGGATACCTTGACACCGCTAGGCACCAACGAGGACGACCAGACGCTCGTCGGGGGCGACAACTCCGATGATGCGGCACCGGACATCAACTTTGAGGGTAATTTGCTTGCCGGCCACTAATCAACTGCTTCCCCGATTGCATTTGCTATCGTTGACTCTTTGTGTTGTGTTATCTATTGCGTTGCTCTGTACTGTAATCTTCTGTTCTGTTACGATATGTTCTCGCAGTAGCGACCCTCTATAAAACTATACTTCTAATCGCATACAGCTGCCAGGCATCGAGCGCTGCGCCAGCGCACAGTCTCGCTCTGCCGCCGCAACTCGGAGACGTATTCGCTGGCCGGCGCGGACATAAACAGGTCGCACATTAGCCTTAACCAGCTGACAATGCTGTCCCGTCGCCAGATGAGCCTGACTCAGTCCGAGCCGGACAGTGACAAGGAGGCGCCAGCGGCTGCAGGCAGCGCACATCCGGGTATGTATCGAGGCGAGGTGCGATACACCTACACATCCAGCCACAGACTTGCGCTCTAAATTCTGGCTACTAACACTCATGCCCTCAAGTCCACTAAGCCCATCATAACCCAAGCCCAACCAAGATCCAACCAATCCAGCAAAACGATTTGGCCCCGTAAATTAGCAATTTAATTGTTCTCTTGCACCCAATTTATCTCTTACGCATTCTCAACCTAACCACGAACTCCGAACTTTAGGTAAATCAGTATTGCATGCGAAACCCTCAAGAAATATATTGCTGAAACTGCACAGCGAGTACACGTCGATCACTGATGAGCTGGAGAGCGTCTGCCACATGATTGCCTCGCCAACGGTCTCCCTGCAGAGTAACAAAGGTAAGCTCCGTGTAGAGCCTGGGCCGCGCAGGGTCACAATTCGATTTCCCATTACCACTTAGCCGTAACGTAACCAATGGCCAAGAGAAACCAATAAATCCGTGAGAAATGTGTGAACAACTAACCGGGTGATTGCGCACTACCCGTTTCATTGCCTTGCTTTAGCCGCCTTCAAAGCAGCACCTGTCCTGTCCGTCGAGCAGGTCTGCCATTCCAACAACTTTTGCTATAAAATTTTCTATTTTCGTCTGACAGTTTCATTGGATCGCCCCAAGACGGAAATGTCGCGCGCAGAAGCCGCGGCATTACAAGAAAAGAAGCATTTGAAGGAGTGCGAGGAGAACGATTACAGAATACTAGAGGGACTGTTCGAGGCCCGTGGATCGATTGATGCCAGCGCCGAGGCTTTTGAGGTATCACTCATTCATTTAACTTAACTATTAACCATGGGCATGCTGGCAATCTTGTAATATTCTCAATATTCGCAAACAGAGCGTCATATCCGTGGACTACAGCCAACGCTATCCGCTGCGTCGCGAGACTGCCGTTGAGCTGTCGCCTTCGAAGCCTTCAGCTGAGATTGATCTCATGGGGGGCGGCGGAGGTGGCGGAGACAGCAGCGATACAAGTGGAGCAGGTAGCTGCAGTGCCATGGGTGCAGTCTCAAGTGGGTTTCAGCTCAAAAACGAGCGCCCCTGGCAGCGCAACTCATCCATGGAGCAGCAGACATATCCGTCGCCTCTGGTTCCCTCGAGAGCCACAAGCGACTTCCTCAATCCACCCTTCGAAAGCAGCGGACGCCTCTTCAAGAAATCCAGCGAAAGTCTGCAGAAGAACTCTAGTACTGAAACAGACTATTCTGCCCATCCGTATCGCTTTATCAAGCAGAGTTCTAACGAGACGAACACCTCGCTTACCGGCTCCTACAACGTGGACACGCCCTCACTCACCGCGGAGCCCTCTTTGGATGCCTGCGACTCGCAATCGGCGACGGGAATTTCCATAAGCGTTGGTGCTGCTGGCGGAACTACCGCGGCGCGTTACCAGCCCATTCGCACGACTTCCATTGGCGCGGCCGATGGAAAACAGCTGCGGGACGAGAGCTCCAGTTCGCGTCAGAGCCCAGAGCTCGGAGTCCAATGCTCGGCGCCAGTGACGATGCAGGCACCGCCAGCTGTACCAACTCGCCCGATGCTGCTGAAGAAACAGTTTAGCGCCGACAGGGGCAAGCCAATGCAAGCGCAAATTACTGATGAGGCTATAGCTACACCAGAATCTGGCTTAGATGCAGCATCTGTTGCCCAGGCCAGGGCCAAACTGATTTCCACGCTAAAGCCACAGTCTCATACGAGCAAGCTGGGAATGAACGTACTCAAGGAAAGCAGCTCCAGCACAGAGGGGTCCCGCGATGGCGAAGGCCTGTCCACTACGTCCTCCGCCAAAAACAGCAACCCGGCGCTTTCCATACCTCAGATTAGCACGCATCTGGTGCAAGATGAAATCGCCAAGCTGTCATCTAACATAAAAAGCAGCACTGAATCTGAAAAGGACCCGCCGTATAACGAAACAATGTGCTAGAAAGACCATTTCTGAGTAATCCAACTGAGGTTGGAAGGTCGAATATGTATCTAAGGTCGTCATACTGTTAGTTGTTGTTTAAGCTGGCCGGCAGACTAGCATCGGAACTCGGTGATAAGCTATAGCCGCTGAAAAACTAGCACTGATGGAGGCTTAGAATGGATGGAAGGTTGAGATATTCGACGGAGCAGAAAATTACATGCGAGTTAATAATTTTGACAATACAAACAAAGTTCACAAATTGTCTGTATTTTTATACAAGTATTTATTTAGAAGAGTTCATTGCTGATATATAATATATACATACACATATACATACATAATATCAATCAAATCTTAAAAGGTAGCATTTCCGTGTGAAAATATATATTTCACCCTATCAGCATACCCTATGTAGATACTTTTGAAAAAACCACCAATTGAATGTATGTACATATTGATTGGATTGCTAAAATTAGGGATAATACATATTCAATACTTTTACAAAAGCTTAGGCTTAGTCAGTCTTACTCGTACATATGCAGTTTTCACGCAACCACACATACATATCTTGAGCAACTACACTACTTTACCCAGCCACGAACTTATCCTAACCAAGCAAATCTACATATGTACATACATATGTATGTATGGTGGGTACACTTACCTCAACTAAATTGGAAACTTAATTCAACATAATGCACTCGATAGTATTTCAGCCGGAATTCTCTACTAGTAGTTAGTCCATTTTACTTGTTCATAAGAAATAACTACATGTGTGTATTCTGTGTATGTGTATATGAAATTGCCTTTTTCGGCTGCTTTCGATGTCTCTGTGTATATTAAATAAATGGTGTTTTAAATGATCGCTAAAACTTTTAATGTTGGGCCACATTGTGCTAACACTATAATTAGTCTTAAGAGATGTAGCATTAATTAGTATAACTGCATTTTATCGGATGTTTACTGATTCTAATTATTATATTTAAATTTAAAATACATTTGCAGCACTAAGCATTGTTTAACGTTTTGAACCACAGAAACTGTCCTATGCGTTACCTTTAATATGAAAACCAAGAAACCAAAAATCCCTGAATTCCCACATACTCTGCGAGCCAATTGTCTACTGTATAAATAAACAAACAAAAAATAAAATCAGAGTATCGGGTCCTTAAAATATATTAGAAAAGTCGACTGCGCCGTTCTTACGAGTTCCGTCTGTTACGAGCACACTCTTTTTTTGTCATGTAATATAAAATGTGTTTTTATTTAATACTTCCTCTAATATAATACTATAATAGTTTCTACAAAAGCTTTATTGTGCTCAAAATAATCTAGTTTCGGTTTTACAGTTGTTTACACATTAATAAAGTCTTTTAAATTACTTAGAGCTAGTAAAACTATTAAAACAATTTATTATTACAAATGTTTAATAAATATTTACAAAAAATGGCAATAAAGTCTGTGTTGCACACGAGGCACTTTTTTACATAAAATAATTGTCGTTAAACTACAAATTAAAAGGCACTTATCGTAGACCACTAGGAAGTCAAACCAACAAGAACATTCAATGCTTTCGCGGTTTAAAAGTTGCACGCTTTCATATAAACTGTGAGGTTTTCGTTTATCGACCTTACCAATTTCGTTTTGTTTTTAAATACATGTAGAACACACATACTTAGTAGATAAATAATTTGTAATGGCGTCTTCAAGTTATAATATTAGGTTTTGGTATCTGCTGAAACTTGCAGCTTGTTTTCGGTCAAAGCTAGTTATTTCCATCGCTATTTAGGTTCTCAGCCTCGGGTTCGTCGGGACTCTGTTTCACCAGTCTATTCAGCTCTTCCTTTTTGGCTCGATTAAAGAACCCGAACTAAATCAGGAAAAGAAACTGTGGGTTAGTGCCTTAGTAGAAATAATATTTATAATGGGATACGCACCTTGTAGAGGGCATAGCTAATCGCTGAGAGCAGAAGCAAACCACCGATAATGGAAACAATTATGATCCAGATGGGCGTGCGGGACTGCAGATGTTTGGATATCACATTTGGCTCAATCTTCCGATTGATGGAGAACGAGCTGCCGGACAGGTCTCCCTTCTTCAACAAGTCTAGATCGGTCAGAATGACAAAATACTCCCATGGATCCAATAAAATGGCATTGACTTCGTTGAGGTCAACGGAGTAGCGCACATTCAGGTTGACAGGCTTATCCGCCCTAAAGTTATACACACGCATCTCGGCTCTAATGCAGATGGTCATGTCGGGATCCCTGCAGTTAAACACAATTGTCCGATTCACCGGCAGCTTGCCCTTAAAGTCCTCGCTGAGCAAGTCATGCGCCTTGGCGTTAGAGATGCGAGCGTACTGCTCGCGGTTGGCAGTCAGTGCTTTAAGATCACGTCGCTTGCGCGTCATGGAAGCGGTAGCCACCATATCAGAGTCGACCTCTTGCCAAGACTGATGAACATGCCCACTGGTGGTGATATCATATCCCTGTCCATTCTGTCTAATCACTGTTCGCTCCGTGCTCTGTATGCCGCGCGTAGTGGAAATTTCTATTGGATCTAGGATCAGCATGGTGTTGTTCTGATCGAACAGCTCTATGCCCAACAGCTGAGCGTCGTACGTGGCCTGCATCTTTAATGTGGTTATGTTGATGATGGGTATGACGGCGGTCGATCCAGCAACCTTATACGCTATAGGTATATGAAAGGACAATGTCAGATCGTCGATAATACTGGGACCATTGCTCTTAATCTCATAATTGTTGATTATTTCCGCGGAGTTTTTGTAGTGTTCCAAGTCAATTTGGGTGTTTATTTGGCCCCTGTTAAAAGACAAGTGAAAATTAAGTTGTTCTCTCGCTAGTACAGAGCTCACTTTGCTTACCCAGTTGCGTCAATTTCGGTGTACTCTCTCAGACTTATTACATTGGTCTGCCTGTTGTCAATGGGATTCTTTTCATAGCCTGTGCTGAACACCTCGGCGTTTATTATGAGTGCTACACCACTCAAAGTGCTTACGTCGAAGCTAATGGAGACGCTATCCCTATCCCCCTTGGCCAGCGGTCGTCCCCGGTTCAGATCGCAAACCATTCCAGTATCGCTAACCCTGCAATTGCCCGGTATCTGAGCAAAGCTCAAGTGGGGCAGGCTGGTCACATTGAATTGTGGCAGATAGGCGGTCTCTCCGTTGTTGGTGATCTCGTAGTTCAGGCGGAGAGTACTGCCATTTCCCAAAGTGTAGCTAGGGCTATAAAACAAGACTCTTTTAGAATATAACCGAGCCAAATGGCAACTGTTCGGGGTTACCTCACATCCTTGCTTTTCACTTGCAAGTCAGCAATACAAATATCAGTTGCACAACCCGTACTAAATATGATCTTCTCGGTGTAGACCTTCGGCTCTGAGGGATCAACAGCGACACAAGTTTCGCAGAAATCTTCAACATTTTGGAAAAATTTCATTAAAAATAAAGTTTTAACATTTGTAATTGCAAGCGCTTTGATCTCACCCTTAGAATCAGGTACTTTTTTTGTTAGTTCGTAGTGCATCTCCAGCTCGATGGGTGTGAATATGTCCTTCTCGCTGTAGCGCACAACGCACTCAAATACTCTGCACTGCTCCGTCAGACCTGCGTCGACTGTGAAACTCATTTCATGGCTTTGAGTCTGAGTAAACTTGGCGCGTTTCAACTGTGAATCGATAACGATGCGTATGGACATCTCCTGCTTCTGGACTGCCTGCGCTGTGGCCGTGGTGGTTATACCATAGCAGGCTGTGATTGCCACCTTGTCCTGCTCCGGCTTGATTTCACGCGACTGTGACTTCACAGTGGCCTTCAGCCTGACAACTGGATAAGCACGATACAAATAGACGGCCTCGGCGTTCGGAGCTCCGATTGCAAAGTCATTAAATCCATTGCCATCGATGTCGGACCCACGGGAGAGGCCATGCCCAAACATATGTGCGCCATACTTGGAGGGCTGACCCGAAGGCGCATCTAGCCGCTGGCTGGGCTGGTTCCGCAGACCATGCTCGCTGCCAAGGTAGATGAAAACCGATCCATTTCCCGCAAACGGCGCACCCACAGCGATATCTGTTCAATGGTGGAAACGAAGTAATGTAGCAAGTGCAAAACAGACGAAAGGACTGCGACTAACCATTGTAGCCATCGTGATTAATGTCTCCCAGGCGGGTCAGAGTAGTCCCGAAACGTGCCTTACTGGCAATGGGCGATCGCAGCAGTTTCGACTCAAAGTTGAACTGCAATTGATAATGTGGGTTTAGGTAAGTCACAGCTGTTAGGTGCCCCGACGAGACGGGCCAAACCGTACTCATTCATACTCACAAAGCCCTTGTTGATGAAAACATAGATTGCACCGTTGTCGTGCGAGTCTTCCTGAGAGTGTTGGGGGGCTGAAATCACCACATCTGTCCGTCCGTCACCGTTGAGATCCTCGGCGAGGACTGAATAGCCAAAGTACTCCCCAAACTGTTCTCCACGGAACACATGGTATTTCTTGATGGTCTTGCCCAGCACATCGAATATGTATGCCTCGCCGGATTGTCTGTTGGCCTGCGGAGCGGTGGCCACGTACAACAGAGTGGTTAGGTTTGTACTGTCAAAATAACCAGATGCCACAGCATAACCAAAGTATGAGTCATCCTGTTGACCCCAGTTCTGGGGCTTGGGGATTTCCGGGACGAAGTTATCGGGTGTGTAGTCACTTGAGTCGCTCTCCCTGGTTTTTCGGCGCAGAGCGCTGCTCGTGTCACGCCGGCTGACGCTTGGGTTTTCTGATGGGTCGACTCGCCCATAGAGTATAACCGATCCTTTCCACGTATATATGCCCGGGGCACCAATCAGAAACTTACTGTTGTCGTCCGAGACATGAGCACTCAGCCCCAGCTCTCCAAGAATGTAGTAAAAGTTAATTTCGTTGCCACTATCTTCCTGCACAACTTGTTCCGATTTTAGCCGCAACGGGGAGATCCGATTCACGTGCTCCGGACTGCTAGCCAGGGTGTTTTGCAGCCAATAGCATACTCCATGCATATGGTAATCCTTAGCACTGGGTGCATAAAATCGTGGGGCACACACCAGCAGCTTGTCCGAGTCGCTAGTGCCGCCGTCCATCGAGCCACCCAGCCATTGGAAGTCCTTTCGCTCCGAGTCGAAGGTGTACTCACTGTACGGAGCGTCTCGGTTTCCATTGGGATCGAGGACATATGGGTTGCAGGAGCCGGTAGTCAGAGAGCATCTGTAAATCGCGCCGGTCTCATTTATCTGGCGCTGTGACTCCAGGGAAGACTGCGCGCGCGGTGCTCCTACAATGACACTGAAACGAGACAAGGGGAAGAAAGGTAAGCACTCGCATGTATGTATGTACAAATATAAATTCGCATGTATGTACAGCGAATTAGTCAGACTATGAAGGCAATCATCTATTGTCTATGTATCATTCGTTAGTCGATTTTTCCATCTAACTTTCTGTCAAGTGAAAAACGAGATAACATACATATGTATGTATGTATGTATGAGACGGCCCACCGGGTGGGGCTTCTGACTCGGTAGAGCGGTAGCGTACGAGAGTGTGTGAAGTGCAACAGGTCAACTAGAGTTGGGTTGGTTTATCACCAGCGCTTTTACCTTAGCGATGTTGGACTGTGGCAGCAGGCAATCTTATCTTAAAGCGCAGAAACCGAAGCTGGCAACGTTGGCTGATAACAAATTGGCATTGACTATTTTAGCTTGAAAATAACGAGTTTTGATGCCACAAATTGAACATAGTACATCCAACAAAGGTACGAACGTGAGGCCGAGCAAATATTTGCATTGATTCCAGCTCTACCCGATGCCACCGCACCCGGTGGGGGCAGGCAGGGCTAGTATCTAAAAAAATATGTTTGTGCAGTCAGCTCCTCGTTATGTGTGGATAATTGATATTGAGAGTATGACTTCATCGTTTGTACACGGTACGAGTGTTCAATGTTTTCACTGTATATACTGTGCTTCTTTGTCGCTGTGGTAGCCTCTCCTCTCAACATTTTCATTCACTTTTACTACTGCTACTATTTCGGAGTTCGATTGCCGCCAGCGTGAATCATCCCAACCAATGCACAACCTGTTTACTCTAACGGACACCGCTCCCGTTGCCCGCACCCAGCAGCTCCAAAGCCGCAGAGTTTCAGAGTTTCAGAGCTTCAGAGTCTTCCCCGCCCACTTACCCTTTCGGTCGCAGGCTCATGGTATAACCAAAATATGACGCACGAACTTTGGGCAGTGTGGTGGCAAACTGTGGATCGTTTATCTGCGTGTTCGGACGAGGGGATAAGTTAAAGGCCCCTACGCTGGCCGCGAGACAGCAGAACAGCAGAATTACATCCCGAATCAGGATCGACAAGTGACCTTGCCGCGCCATATCCCCACTTTGTAGGCAGCTTTTGCAAGCCTTTTCGAAATATTGATAAACGGGTTAAAACTAGACAACTTCGACTCTAGGTGTTTATCCGTACTATCACAATGTATGACTCCGCTCTAGCACTGAATGACGTGGAGAAACGCGTCCGCTTCGAATGAAAGATGAAAGTCGAATAATCACGTACCCGACCCGACCACCACGACCAGACAGACGACTACCTCAATGAGAGCGCGAGCGCAAACGCGAAAGCGCGAGATAGAGAGTCAGTGTGGGCCAGTTTGTGCTGCCCAAAGAGAGAAAACCAAGCCAGCCAACTCTTGCTCTCCCTCTCTCCTCTCACTGATTACTCACTACTCACTTTACCGTTGTCGCTCATGTGCTACTGCTTCGCGGAGTATCTTCGTCAAGGTTTATCCAGCATATATGTATGTAAGTGATGTTAGTGAAACAAACAAGTGGGTGGCGAGTTTTGGTACAGCCCCACGCCTGATTAATTCCGGAGACGTCATATCTATATCCCATGGCTGCATTTTTCGTAGTTTTGTAGACTGCAAAAACTCCTTGGATTAGTCAGCGCCAATAACGATGGGAATTGTCTTGAGGGTTTATACTAAATGCTCGTATGAGTATGCTTGCCAGCACTGTGTGCAAGTCACAGGCACATTGCGGGCTACCGGCTCCAAAAGTGCTCAGTTCAGTGGAAAGAAAAGAAAAACAGATTTGTTTTTGTTTTTGTCCGGATTTACGATATGTGCATTGTACATACTTACATATGATTCGATATAGCTGAGCGGATTTTCTTGTTCCGTTTTTCCCCAAGAGTGAGTCATACCCATGTAAAGTGTCTCACACGCATACCCTACCCCGATCCCATGCCAAGCCCTGGCCCATGCATGTAAGTGCAGCGAAGATGCTCGCTTTGTTTATATTGTTTATAAGCCATGTTGAGACCACACAAATCTTCGCTCCGATGGCCGCTGCCACTCCGTCAGCAGCGACACAAGTTCAGGAGCAGCGGCCAGCAAATGTTTAAGAACAAAAGCTACCACGCTGCAACGATTTTTGTTGGATTTTTCGGAATCGGGTTTAATGACCACGAGAAAAGCGGCTAAAAATATTTGTGTGGTGTCAAGTCGGTGTGGGAGGGGTGGAGGATGGGATGGGATGGCATGGCATGGATGAGGCGCCGCTGCATTACAGACTGCAGCTGTTGCGTTCGCCGACGCCATGCCCCCCTTACTCGGATTCTTGCGTGACTCATGCCTCAGCCTGAACTCACTCACTCATTTCCAAGTTTAGTTTTTGACAGTTTCGATTCGAGTGACCACAGTCCGTAGAAATGTTTAACATGTTTAAATTACTCGTTACTCTGCTGCTCTTCAGGAAGCAATAGAAACAAACATTAGTTGTTTATTTTGGTCAACTTCAATTCATGTGAAATAAATTGCAGCTTGTCGTGATTTTACGCGCAATTTCCGTTCATAATTAGGCCAGTAATTTGTATCTGGCACTTTTAGGTTCCAAAGTACCAGCAATAAAAAAATAGAGGAAGAGGAAACGGGTGAGGAAGTTTCAAGTCCCCCCACATGTTTTCCGTGGTCGATTGTAATATAAAAACTAAAAATTCCCCTCAAAATGATATGACGTACCACTGCTAACGAGATTGAAGATTCGAAAACAAATGAAAATTCAATTCTTGTCTCTAATTTTTCTCTAATTGCATACTTGTGAATGTGGCTGGAAAACTTCCATAATGAACTAGCCCATAGTGGTACCCCTCCTCTCGTATCCGTTTTTGTTTTAAGTTTAAGACTTTCGGATGCGAGCCGTTCTCTGAGGTGTGTGATGTCATTTCTGAGCAAAAGTCGCCGCCAACGGGTCTACATATCATTTGATACGAAGTACCTACCAGAGTTTGTCTATGTAGGTCGCCCAAAACACACAAAGAAAAGTGTTGGAGTTTGTCAATTGTGCGGAATGTACTGACGCTGGAGTGAAGCCGAGACGAGATCTCGGATCTGAGACAATTGAAGTCGGTTTTTTGTTATTATTTTTAGATATTGCTGTCTGAAGTGATATTGTTTTTGAGTGGTTTTCGGGCTGAGACTACTTGTTGCGGCATGTTTATGCAGCTGCCAGTCGAGATTGATGGGGGAAAGATATCTGCTTGCCGCCTTGGAGCCATTTGACATTGTGGTTTTAGCTCACTACTCGTCAAAGCGAAAATAAATAAAAGTGGCAAAGTGTGGCCCTACCAGAACACTACCAATTTCATCAATCCCATCTCTAACATATCTATACTATCTATGAACGACTATACATACATACATATGTACATAAATATGTACATACGTGTCTCACTTTTGTTGTGCCAGAAGTCTCAAAATATTGACAAAGGTGATGACTCAAAGTACGGAATTGAAAAGCATTGGTTGTCTTTCACAAAATCGACCGCACAGAAGGTATGCCAGTTATCGAAATGTGTTTATAGTACAAATATTCACATTATTCACATACTGGTCCGGGGGTTTGTCGAATTATTTACATACACACATCGCACCTCCCTGGTACTATGCAACTCACCTGGTTGGACGTATAACCAGGGTGTATCCGAAGTAGGAGCTGCGCGTTTGGTTCAACTGAAATCGCAAATGCTGGGGAGCGCTTATCACTAGGTTTGCACGTGGCGAAAAGTTAAAGGCATCAACCAGAAGGCTTGGCAGCAGATGCAACGTCAGGGCCAGCGACACGAGCATCCAAAGACGACAGATATTCATTTTAGTTGTTTTAGTTGAAGTCGGTGATTAAATTTTCATCAAAATTCATTAAAAATTAAATTTTGCACATTCGTAATTTCTGCTTAATGTATTTCGCTATCTGCGAGCTCCGACCAGCCAATAAATCACAGTTTGGAACAGAGTCACACAGTCAAAGGCAAACTACTCGAAAAGCAGGATTCGCTAAAACACTTATTTATGATTTATTGAATTTAATTGACGCTCTCTACGCACACACTCGAACACTTAATACTCGCATTCACGTTCGCTTATATTCGCGCTACCGCAAATTTATATTTATTAAATAAAGCCCGGCGAAGTCTCGCGCTTTCTTTCGCTCCGCTCTCAGATAGATACAGATGTATCTGCAATGCTTGAGAGATTTAAACGAGAGAAACTATGTAGGTTGAGTTGATATCTGTCGCTCAGGTCGTGCCAAGCTGTAAGCTTTAATAATTACTGGTTCATATTATCTGCACAAGTATGTTTTATTTCCGTAATCACTGCCGCAACACTAAACACTAAACACAGACTAAGACGAGAGATCATGCGTGCAACCGACGACGACTCTGAAACGAATGAACTGTGCTTGTGCTGCCGCCGCTGGCTCTGGTCTGGTGCTTGACTGTATCCGTCCACCCTACATATTTGTCAGAAGCAATAGCATTGAAAACGAGCATTTATGTAAACATTCACATATGTATTTTTAACTTTAGTCCATGCTTTGTTTGTGGCATCTACATATAACACACATATAACTTTTTGCACTTCGGAAACCATTTCTCTACATTCGTATTTTTTGCTGTTAGCCGGAACACTTCGTTGTACTTAGAAGTAGTTGTTCTTGATTGTTTTCGACCATTTCGTACGGTGGATATTCTTGCTATGTAAACTGTGTCTGTCCAATATGAACAAAGTCAGACGACTTTTTCAGTCGCCATGGAGAGGGAACTATTATTCGTATTGGGCGGCGAGGGTTTCACTTATTGCAAGTTATACTCTTATGAACTCCATACAAGAACACACATATTACGTTATAATTAATATTTACAGTGAGTATGATGCAGGCCCGCACCGATCATTCTGCAACCCCACCCCCACCCATGCCATCGCCCATCGCAAGCGCGACAGTCGGCGTGCCAATGAAAATGAAAAGCATGTGGCGGCCATAAAGGATGCCGATCACGATTCTGATGTGGGTACACACCCGAATGTACGGCTTATGGGGCTGCCCTGTCGCTGTCATTGAACTTGGGGCCCACTATATACAATAATGAAACTGCTTATCAGCTGGAACCTAGGCTCGAATATGTACGTACATAAAAACGTATATATGTATGTACAGAAATACATGCATATGTACATACATATGTATCCGTTCGTGTGTATCCAGCCCACCAGCCCAGTATTGGGGTAGGTTTATTTATGATTCGGGTGGCATGAAATTGTACGAGGGTTCAGTGGATCAATTAGAGCGATCACACGAGCATACGGTACAGCAAATACACTATTCCGAGTGGCCGGACCTGATAAGCTGGACAACCGCATTTAGTTCTTGGCTGCATGGAGCTCAAGCGAGTGGGTCTCAGTAATTGAATTTGTATGCAGTTTATCAAGGCAATTGTAAAACAATAAAGGCCAATAGGGAGAAAGTGCGTTCCAGGCCACAGCGTCTGTTCGAGTCTGCTGATAAGACCACGCGCTACACAACAGATTTCCCCGTTCCCCGAAGACTTGAAGATTGGTGCCTGCCTAATTCATAAATAAAGTTCTAGTTAGAAGTTGTAAACATTCAATAGTTTCACACTTTTGTTTGTTCCACATATGCAACCTACAAAAAAAAGCTCTAAATCCTGAGTGATCAAGTGAAAAGGGAAATATCTGATGTTCCCAAGAGGGCAACATTAGAGTGGTAAGTGCTTTTGGTCACGCTCCACCGCCCTTCGGCGTCGCAGTTATTGGAACGCATTTGTAATTATGCGGCCGCCAGCCGATTTTACAGCAATTATGTGCCTGCCAACAACGCAACGCGAGGGCAGAGGAGCAGTGAAACAGAAACAACTGAAACAACAGCGGCACCTGCTGCTGCGCGGAGTGCGGAAGCCATGATGTAGCGCATAATTGAAGTTCATGACCCCCAATGGTCGACGTCAGACGCCCCCTAGCACGAGTCGTCTTCGAGAGCCAGAGGAGCTATTTCAGTACTGCTGGAAACGGGAGCAGTCGCACGCTGCACAAGGCGCAAATTGAATTGTTGCAGTGAGTTTTAGCTTCGGAATAGGGTGCGAGTATAGGATCTGAGTCAATAATTATCTGTCGCCACACTTGGCGGATGTTTAAGGCTCTTCCACACAACTCCAGCTTGTTCCGATTGCATTGTAAGCTGCTCTGTATTTAT